TTTTTTCTAATTTATAAACCCTTTAAATGTAATGACAAAAGAGTACGTGAGATAGTCTAAATAAACCACAAAATAATAATGACGAAGCAATTATTTCTCTAACTTATTCTATTCCTTATTCGAAGCGATTGTTGTAAGTCGTTAGGGACCGATCGTCATTATGGATGACTACGGTCTCAATCTGACCCCCTGTAGACTGCGCAGCTGTAAATGTTCCGCCAATTTTAACTCGACATAACGACGACGTATCGAACTGCAGTGAATTCGGAACGTGATCTCAAATCTAGCGGGACTTGTTGTTATTTTTTACGAAGCCGCTTATATTCATTCAGACATTCACGTGGATATAAATTTTTTTTCGGATTTTTAATACGTATATCCTTTCTTAAATTTTTTCAATTCCGGAAAGAAGTAAAATTGTATAATTTCAATAAATCAAACTGTGCGATTTTAAGAAACTTATTATATAATTATTATAATTAACTTATATAATTATTATAATTAACAATTGTCCAATTTTATTGGTCTTTTTTAAAACGTAAAAAATAAGACGTTAAAATAATAAATTAAATTTTATAACTCTTTTTCATATTGCTTCTTAATATAAAACCTGTGTGTTAGACTTCATAATTCCAACAATATTAATTGCTAATGCTGTTAATAATCTGATACTCTCACTACGTCTCTGATCGATTATAAAAAACTATCGTAGCTTGAACATTTTCGCATTACGTTATAAATAATTGATTGTTATATTTAATATCAGTAAATAATAACATTTAAGAATAACCAAATTTAATTCTTTTATAATTAAGATCTATTATATCTTTTGTGATAATAAATTATACGAATTCTGTAAGTCACGCATTTTCGATTCCATTTGTCGGATGTCAAAGATCAACTTGGTAAATCTACCAAGAACTTTCTTAAAATTAAGCAATTTCCTCGAATGATTCGGGAGAGACTGCCGAGGCGCAATGTAAACGGCATATAACCGAATGACTTAATCCGGAATACCGTTGAAATATACCAATCCCCTGATTCGTCGACTCGCAATTTATTCCTCGGTACCTCTCGTCATCGTACTGCCGCGTGCTCTCCAATTAACTTTAAATCACCCTTCTCTATGGATTCTCCTCATAACGTAAAACTTCAAAATTTCGTCCCGGTTCATCTCCACATTTATCCAAGGATGTTATGTAATATAATGTCCTTATGCATTAACGGTTTTTTTTGTCAAAAGTCTATTTCTTTATCTATACCATGCATTTTACTAAATACTTTTAAACTATGATGTTAATAATGTTTAAAATAATAGAATATTTAAATTATAGTTTAACTTGGGCTTGTATTAAGTTCTAATTAATTTTCGAAAATGATATGATATAATATAACTTTATTATAGTACATGGTTGAATTTGGGAAAAAATAATCTTTAATTTGGTAAAAAAAATTGAAAAATTTGAAAAAACTGTGGATGGTGAGAATATTTTTATTAAACAAAAAAAATTTTTTTAATTTTTTGTACAATTTTAAAGTACTCTTGAAACCGTATCTTTCATAAAAAAGTATGTGTTTCTTAGATTTTTATTTTCAACAACACATTTTATGGAAAATCGGACAGTTGTAAAACTTCCCTTGTAAGGCGCAGGCTAATATCGAAGCAGCTTACGTGACGTACTCATCAACTGAACAGAACACGAAGGGTGGTTTGTGGGATAGAGGACAAATCAAGGGGGCGTGCATTGTAGCTCCTGTCATCTTCAGCGCAAGCTTTCGTTGCCCCAAATGCTAATTATATGTCAACTGTTCACGTGCCATATCACGAAAGATTGATTGTCAGAGATGAAACAATGAGCAAGAACGTACTAATGGGGTCTTTAACTTGAAGCAAAAGCAGTTTCAAAAAGTTTTATTTTTCTCTTAAGATAGATTTCTTTCTGGCTATAATTTTGATAATTTCCTTATTATAATATAATATAATTCTGTCATTAAGAAATCATGATAAAAACTTTTATGAAATTTATATTGCTTGTACTGCATCAATTTAAACTAAATGCATATAAGATAATATCTATTTAATTGAGAGTCCATCTCAATTGAATAGGAAATTAAATTTATAGTATTGTTAAAACAGAATCAAAGAACACACTAAGAAAGTCGAATAAGAAATTTTGTAGTGCACTTTATCTTCTTATCACTATTTAATGGTGAAGAACGATAGACGTCTAATGAGCAAATACACTAAAAGAGAAGCTCACTGCGATTGATGCAGCTTATACACGCGAAATCGCTGTCGGCCCAATATCAGGATGTTCGTACGAAGGATTCATTACCGGCTAGTAAAAATACCAGATGTTTTTTAATGTAATAGAGTTATAAATATTCTTTGCTTTTACACGTAATAATACTAATTATTTTAATTTTTTAATCTTCTTAAAAATAAATAATCTTAAAAAATATAGAAAAAACAATATCCAAGTAAAACGAATATTTTAATAATAAGTGTTAACAAAAAAAGACAACGAGATTTCTCAGACAACAGCATTTGTGCAAATCAGAGGACAAAATTAAAAAGTATTTTACAATAACAGAAGTGGTAAAACGACATTGAGTTGAATGTTATCTTTAATTGTTTCCTTGATTATGATAGAAAGTAAATAATCTTGAGAGAACAAAATCTTGATGATCGAAGGGGATCGCAGGATAGAGAAAAGTAATTACCAGACTAACAGAAAGATCAGTAAATTTGCAAAGCCATTTCAAGTTTCTTTGAGTCCTTTCAACTTTCTTTAAGTTTCAAGCTATTCGTTCATCATCGTTAATAGTTGACGAGATGTGATTGGATTCTTCGGATCGTTTGTAATCATATCGGTAAACTTTGTACATTTAGCGACTGTGATTTAATCTTTACATTTAGATAGATTATTTACCTGAGTTGCCATGTTATTGAAGCGGCTCTTAGCTTTGTATATTCCGTGTGTTTCTAACCAAAATTTATTTTAAATATCGATTATGAACAATTTGTCTCTCGATGTTAAAATATTAAGTCGTTAAAATGTCATTAAAATTGTTTTAAATGTAAGATTTTAAAAAAGAGAAAATCAATATGTCTCTTAATTTTTTTTCTTCTTAAAATATCTTTATGCAAGACAAAATAGCATCTGTTTTATAATTAAATACAGTAAGCAGTAAAACACTGTAATGAAGTAATGCACTAAATCTGTAAAAATGACAAGCATTATATCTACATACTTATAAGCACTCATACGTACATACATTCTGTTCATGTTTTTATATGTATTTCTACATTTGTGTGATATTTAAAAAAAAAATTTGACGCATATATTTAATTGATAAAATTCGGAAAAGTCAAATAATGTATTATTTTTAGCACGTTACTGTTATCACTACTTTGTTATAATATAAATTTTTGTTACAACAATGAATTTACAACTTCTCATGACGATAACGACAATACCACAAGATAAGAGAGTTCTTTTTAATAATAATTCATTATTTTACTCGTTACATAATGAGTACTTTTCACAAATAACTTTTAATAGCGTTGAAAATAACGAGATACTTCCTATTCCTATAAATTTAATTCATTATTCTTAAAGTTTAATTGTGTGAAGAGAATTATTCGTGGAAGTATATTAAGCTTCGAACGAAACAAGTGGCCTTATTGATGATCGTATGGGATGCATCTTCTAGTGGCATTAAGAAAACAAAATGGTCTCTAACTGTGTCGGCCATACTTTGGTTAGGATTGATTTAAATTGGTAGAATTACCCGGGTGCTATGGGTCTCGGTAACGGGGAACGATACTGATTGCCACGGCCGCTCGTTAAGTACTGTAACAATCCTGATCCCCACCACAATACAGTTTGCCACCCCTCGCTTTTTGCATCCTCGCGCGACTGATGATAGCCTCCACCAATCTATTCTCGTTCATCCCCTCCGTCGGCAACAATTTACTCTGTCTCTGTGAACCGAAGCAAAACAAAAAGAGACCGACAGAAAAGAGAGATGGATTGACGCAATATTAAAGGGAAAGTATACGTTCAGGTACGCGTATGAGAAATGAGAAAGAGTGCAAAGGAAAAGACAGATGATAGAGTAACAAAAATGAAGGAAAAAGCGTGAGAATGGATGCACGAAACGAAATGAAGATGGTAGAGGAGAAGCGTGTGAATGTAAAGTAAATCAAGGATAGTGTTGGAGATGAGTAATAGAAAAGGCGGCGAAAAAAAGATGGTTGAGAAGAAAAAATGACACGGGATGGAAAATACGGGTGAGAAAAATTACATGAAAGAAAAAAGTAGAGGAGATAGTGTGTGATAGAAGTGCAAAATTAACAAAAATATGTATTATACATATACATATGATAAGTAAATAACTGAAATTAATATCCTGCTCATTGTTATAACAGAATCTCATAAAATATTATAATAAATTGGATCAAAGACGGCCACTAAATATTCCTTTAGTGTTTAATTAAAGCTAAATTGATATGTTAATTTACAATTAAAGCAAGATCAATTTTAATTGTACTCGTTAATCGTTTTGAATTGTATACATATATATGTATAAATAGAATCTAAATTATAATAAATTCTATTAAACATACTATAAGAGTTGAATTTAAATAAATAACATAAAGGAGTCAACAAAATAAAAAATAGAAAATAATGTGTCATTGTTATTAAAAAAATATAAACTGATCATTAAGTTCTATAGAGATATGTGTATGTTCGTTTCACACACTTTTCATTTATTACACTTTTAATATAAGAATTCTAATATTTTGAACAAAAAATGTCTTTCTCATGCAAAAGATTCACAGAATATTTAAATCTCGTCATAGATTATTCAGTATGAGCGATTTCAAGTATAAGGAATATTCACTTGAATCCTACATGATTTATTCTTTATTATAAAAATCCTGATATTTTGAAAAACCAGTTCACGATCAATATTTTCGTTTCAGATTTACAATGCAACCGTTTGCAGTGGGTAACACAATGGCGACCGAGACACCAAGTTTGTCACCTGAGAGAGTAACTTCTCCAACACCTTGCCGAAATCTTACATTTTCCATTGCAAAAATTATGGAACCGGACAAACGACTGACCGAGCAAAGCTCTAATTCGGTGCCTCCACCATCAGCAATGCCAGCAACAACGGCGACAACAATTCTTCAGCTGCCAAACATTTCTTCTCCTTCGTACTCGGCGCATTTGAAGTCAGCATTCGAGAAATATGTACCGACCTTAAGGCATCAAGATCTGCTCCAGCATTATCCCGTATTATCTAAATATTATCCATTGTATTATCCAAATCCTTTGCTGAGAGCGTTCCCAGGTCCTCCCGCTTCAACTCCATCGATCACTCAAAATTCGCCACCTCCCACGACTATTCAAGAAGCTTCTTCGAGATTGAATTTGACCAGCGTATCACCAGAAAACCAGCGGGGCAAAAAGAGCCCAGCGCCGCGCAATGACCTCAGTACTGGAAATAAGCAAAAGACTTTTACTTGTCCGGAATGCGGCAAAGTGTTCAATGCACATTATAATTTAACTAGACACATGCCAGTGCATACGGGCGCCCGACCATTTGTCTGCAAGATTTGTGGTAAAGGTTTCCGTCAAGCCAGCACTCTTTGCCGACACAAGATCATCCACACTGCTGAAAAGCCGCACAAGTGCATTACTTGTGGCAAAGCCTTCAATCGTAGTTCTACTCTCAATACTCATACACGTATACATGCCAATTTCAAGCCGTTTGTCTGCGAGTTTTGCGGCAAGGGATTTCATCAGAAGGGTAATTATAAGAACCATAAGCTCACACATAGCGGCGAGAAAGCGTACAAGTGCAACATATGCAATAAAGCGTTTCATCAAATCTATAATCTAACATTCCATATGCATACGCACAATGATAAGAAACCGTTCTCCTGCAAGATCTGTGGCAAAGGCTTTTGTAGAAACTTTGATCTCAAGAAGCACATGCGGAAACTGCATGACACGAATTCGCCAGTGCTTAGCGGATTGGATGCCTCGGGCCAGAGTCATCATAATCAACAATCGAGCTTTTCGTCAGTATATCACGGTCCGGAACATTCTATCGTCAGTCCATTTATACTTCCTCCACCTGGATCCACCAGTTACCACTCTTTGAGTAAGATGTTGTGACAAAGCGAGAATATGCACTATTCCAGGAAAACTCAATATCCGCTCATTCTTGGCTCACCTTGTTACTCAAATGACATAGGCCAGTTGGCGCAAACATCTAAATAAAGAGTTGAAAGAGCGCCTTGTTCAATTTCTTATTTGTTCAACTTCTTACTTGAGAAGAGTATTTTCCAACTTAGTTACAAAATTAAATGAAATAAGTATATAATTAAGTAAATAATAATAAAATAAACTAAGAAGTGTTTAACCACAAATAAGGAAGAAGAAAGCCATTTTCAATCAAAGCGGGTCGTGGTGTTTAGCGGATATGGTGTAATATTCATATATGGATGTACAAATACAATTATCTATAATAGTTATATAGACTGTGCGCAAATTCGGTTTGTCTGCTGTGTGTATACTATGTGTGAGTGCGTGCGCGCGAGAAATAGTTTTACAATTAAATTGAGATAGTTGATTTAACAATAATACCTCCATCATCTTAAAAACCTATAAATCACATATTGGAAAGAGTATCGCATTTCAACCAGAAATCGGATCTGGAATTCCGTAAAGCGTTTTCCTAATTTGATCATCAAAATAGGTGATAATATTAATTGCAATAACTAGTATATGACATATATGAAAGAACGTCTTTTTCAGGCGACGTGTGATAAATAATGTTAAGTAAACAATATTAAATAGTTATTGCGATTAATATTATTCCTCATTTAAATTGAGGAGACACGGAATTCATATCCCGGTTAAAATTTGGGCTGAGGTGATATTTTTTGCAATAAATTGTATTTACAGATTGTTAAGATGTTATTTCAGTCGGTGATTGTATTTCCGATAAACTGAATCGACGCGTCTACAAAACTAATCATTGTATTTGTATATTTACATACGAATACTACTAATCATTAACACTTTTCATTGGACCGCCTCCAATTTGGCCTATATAGTGTTATTTATTTGGAATGTAGAATCACAAAAAGGAATTGTATTGTGAAGTGAACTCTTACTCTAAGAGACTGAAAATTGAGTTAGTCCTTTTTTACTTTTTTAGAATAAGAGATTTACCCTTTTGGAATGAAATTTACTGTAAAAGAGTGAAACCTCAATCCTTTTCTTGGAGTGTATGTAATACCATAGAGTAAATGAAATCTTACTCCAAAAAATCTTTCAATCCTTTTTCATAAATAATTTCTTAACCACTCAATAAATATATTATTTACAGAAAAGAAAACCATCATTCTCTTCAAAGAAGAGATTATTAAAATGGAGATATGTTTTCACTATGCATCACTTTATAAAATATAGTTTTTGAGCACAACATGCAAGTTTTCTCTTAAAATCGCAATAAGGATGAAAAAAGATGAAAATTGGTAGTATTCGCTCAATTTATGGCTTATATGAATATTTATTTATGCATGTTCTACAATAGGGTCGCAAACCGTAAGCCGTAAATAATTAACCAATCGTAATCGAGTATATTTTTCATATTTAACTATGATTGGCCAATTTCTTACAGCTTACGACTTACGACTCTATTGTAGAACAGGCTTTAGGGTACATTCTGTTATCCATATGAATATGGATATAAAGATTTTCACTGAAAAATAATAATTTACCATAACTTTGAATAATTCATTCAGCACATAATTCCTTTTCTACGTTATTCTATATTTTAAATACTAACTAAATAAAAAACACTACTTAAGCCAAATTGGAAGCAGCCCAATGAAAAGTGTCAATGTTAAGCAGGAAGAGCCACTTTGACTGAAAGTAACTTCCTTTTCTCTTAAAATTAATTACAAAAATTAATGAAAAAATTGAAAGATACATTCCCGACGTATCTTGCTGAAAATGTATAAGACATTAAAAAAGTAAAATTTGCAGATAAGATTTTTAAACATTACTAATGTTTCAGTGCAACAAAAAGTAACATTAATGATTTGTTCTACAGACTCCAATAGCTGATAGCTTATATTTATAATTAAAGTTAAATTAAAAACAAAATGTGACTCAAATAAATTTGTCAGTTTAGCTTTTTATTTTCTATAAGGTAACCGGACCCTATGTGCCACTACTGAGTTACGTGTCTAGCAAGTAAATTAGAATTCTTGATATAAAATAACCAAAGTATTAAAATCCGTTACAATCAAAATGTACACGCAGTATGACTAGGTTGGCCATATTGATTCTATTGTACGAAGAGTTTCCTTCTTTTGATTATAAATGTCCTTTTCCTTTGGTTAAATTTAATTATAAACAAAAATATAAATCAACAAAGATATAATCTAAGTAGGTATGTAGTGTTGTAAGGTATGGATATAGAGTTACAATGATATGTGTACTATTGAAATCAATAATCATCTTTTGGTAGTTACAGGACACAATTACTTACTTAGGAAATATTACATTACGACTATAACATTCTACATTTAGCTTTATTGACAATAACAGAATGAACAAATTGAACAAGAAACTGATGCAATTGAATCAGACGAGGACAACCTGCACAAACTACTACTGCTATTTGTTGAATTAATTGCCTAATTATCCACAAACAGCGAATAGAGCGTTTGAAATATACATCCATTGAGTCCGGTTACCTTGTCTTATTGTTCAGAAGTTCGGGAACACTTATGATTTTCTTACGAAAAGTTGTTAAAGGAAGTTTTTAAAGTTTTAAAAAATTTATAGCAATTGAGGGCCTCATAAAAAATTTAGTAAAACTGCTAAGAAGGGAAACAACTGCCTTGATCTTGACATATGTTGTCAAGGCCATGACCCTGAATAGCCATCAAGTTTTAGCCATTGCTCGTTATTCGTTAAAAAGATAACAAAAAAATTAATAACTATTTCATTATTTTGCGTGAAAAGTTGGATGATTCTAGATAGGGGGAAGGTATGGGATGAGCCGATTAGGAAAGGACAACTTTCTACGCGAAACAACTCGCACTTCGCTTCCCCTCCTACTACGGAGTGCACGACTTTCCATGTAAAGCGACTTGCGCCCCTATCACCTCCCTCCCTTACTAAAAAAAACGTATGACTTTCCACGTGAAACGACTTTCATCCAATCTCCTCCTGTTACGGAGTATACAATTGTCTAAGCGAAGCAAGTCTCACCTCACCTCCTCCCTCTGTCAAGGGGCGCATGATTTATCACGCGAAGGGAGTCTTACTCTACCTCCTCTCTTCCATGGGGCGTTTGACTTTGACACAAGGAGGAGATGGAACGTGGAAAATCAAACGTTACTGGGCAGAAGGGTAAATAGGGTGGAATTCCCTTCCCCTAGAAAATCATACGCCCCTTGGCAAAGGGAAATGGAGTGAGACTCGCTTCACGTGGAAAGTCGTGCGTCTCTTGACAGGAAAGAAATGAAGTAAGACTTACTTGTTTTACGTGGAAAGTTGAATGTTTCTATGCAGGGGGTGGTGTAGTACTTAATATTGTACATATATTGCAAAAATAAGACGTTTTTTTTTAAACTTTTTTGTTAGTAACGTTTTAACAAATAACGGACGATGGCTAAAAAACTTGTTGAAAGTTTTTCAAGGTCATGATCTTAACAACATATGTGAAGATCAAAGTCATCGGCGATTGTTCCCTTCTTTTTCTACATTTATATAAAAAAAATTTTTTTGTTTTTTCTTTTTCCTGTAAGTTCTTTAATATTATTCATCCGTTTTTCGTAACTTTAAGTAACAGTTACAAGTGCTTGTATGGAAAAAGTTAAAAATAATGATTAATTAAAACTACCATATAAGGGAGATCGGGGCTGGCTGTCGTACAAGGATTAGATAGTCAAAATGTTTATAACTCAATCAGCATATGATAGAAAAATCCCTTTTTTTATTGTAGATTGCTGATATAATATTAATTTGTTATGTAAAGTGATTTGTATAAAGAGTACATATTATTTACGACTTTTATAAAAATAAGGTTGGTGAGAAAATTTTTCTTATCATCTATGTTGTTGTCTGATAAGTTTTTGGCATTATTAGTCGCGATATCTTTGTATACATAGACAATGATTTGTTTTAGAAAATTTTTGCTACAATTAATCGTTATCCTAACAAAGTTTGTGAATACAATCTCTTTTACTAAAAATGACTATGTGAGGTACATTGTGATCAAAATGGAACAGAGTTAGCTGACTATCAACTTTAAAATCTTTAGTTCGACATATTTTTTGAAAAAATACTCCTACAAATATTTATATATAATATAAACATATGTTTTTTTATTTTTTTATATAAAAATTATTTTCATATAAAAACAGTTCTTTCAATTAATTTTCAGTTACGGTAACTTTCATATAAAAACAAATTTTATGATTAAAATAACTACTTCATTTGTTTTAAAACACTATATAATTATTATTATTTCTTAAAATGTAGAACTAACATTAAAATATTAATAAACTTCACTACACCTTTTCCCATTAAAATGCATTTTTCAAAATTACGATTTTTTTCCCATTGAGATACTTAATTTTTCATAAAATGCGAGAAAATCGCATGTGTTCTCGAATATATGAATAGTAATGTCAAAAATGTCTTATGTGTCTAGTTACTTATACGTTGAGAAAAAAATATTTCTAATTTTATATTTTTATAATAAAGTTGTTTAAAAGTTAGTCTTTCAAATTTATATAAAAATATCGTAATAAAATTGATTTTGCATATTTTTATAATATCTCACTGTTAAACAAATTTTTAATTGAATTCACATTAACGCTACATTTTATCAATTCATGATGTAAATAGAAATACAATTGTCAAATTTTCGATTGGATTAAGAGAGTTGTAACATTCTGGACGATACTTGTCAACGATATGGTTGATATGTAATTCTGTGAAATATTCACGAAGTGGATATTACAAACAACTCACAAAACATGAAATCAACCATATCACAAAGATAAATCAATAGGACACAGATATTCTATTAGTCTCTTACGAATTGGGAAGGGTTTTCATGATCGATTATGAGCGTTAATGGTTGC